CGGTTGCCATAGTTACAGTCTGATGCTCTTTGTTTTAAGCTGCTGAAGCAAACAGACACAGTGAACAGCATGCAAAACAAGGCCGATAAATGCTGCACTTTGTCTCAGTGTGTGTGTGTGTGTGTGTGTGTGCGCGCATAAAGTTTGTAGAAATTTAGTTAAAGAACTGAGCACTCGAACCCTGTGGCAATAATGTTTCACTGCCACATCCGTCACATCTACAGTATATTACCCAATATTGTTCCAGTTCAGCCAGTGACTTTACACAGACGTGTTTCACAGTCTTTGGCGGGAACCATTTTTTCTGAAGTCTTGGTTTTCAGATATTTTAGGTCAAATTCTGCCACTGACCTGCTGATGAATTCTGCTCACTTCACTTCATTCTTCTTGGTTTGTTTTGAATCAGGCATCAACAGAGAAGCAATAGAAATGTTTCCACAATTTCCCATCTCATGTGAACTTTATCAAAACCAGTTTACAAGGCTGCTTTATCAGGAGAGAAGTGCTGAGAAACATTTCAGCTGTTGTGTTCCTTGAATTATTTCTTTTTATTATGTTCAATTTTATTTTTGTACTATTTTTTATTTAAATTTTGATTCATTTCCCTGTGTTTGTGTCTGAGGACACAGGCAGCACATCTCAAGGAGTACAGGGTCAAATCCAATTTTGAACTAAATAAATATGTGCAATACAAATTATAAAACTATCAGGTTAACTAATGAGCAACCAGATCAGCCAAACAGCATAACAAAAAAAGCGGGTCGCACAGAGCTGCTCCTGTCGAAAAAGATTTCGTTTGACCTCCTGAAACAAAACAGAGACCACGTCACTTCTTTCAGTGCTGAAACCTTTGCTGCGTCTTGCTGCCTTTCTCCTCCCTTGTTGTTCTGCAGATGCTTTAACCCTGGTTTCCCTGGTAAACTGCCCTAAAACCAGTTAGAACTCATCAATCCTGTGCAAAGGTGCGTGATGAGTGAACTATGTTTTTAAAGCTGCACTACTCCACAGAGTGGTAATAATTTTGATGTTTAGACACACTTACCCAAGATTCAGCCTGATTTATCAAGTCCACAAAGTTTTGACTTCAGTCAAACTGCACAGCGCGCATCTTCAGTTTGATCATTATGTTTGATCATAGTTAAAAAGTTTCCGTTACTGGACGTCCTAATAAACCTGAGCCTGACTCGCCTCCATCCGTCTCAGTCTGGTCTTGAATCATGGTCCCAGCGACCGGCTCCAGGGGGATGATGGGTAATATTTCTTCCACTCCCCACCTATTTTATCTGCAGCGTGGCCGATCGATGCTCTTGAAGACGCTAAATCATTTGTAGGAGCAGGGCTGCATCAGAGCAGAGAGCATGCTGGGAAAACAGAGGCAGGCTGCATCCACACAGCACAGACCAGTTTCTCTGTTAGAGGATGTAATATGTTTCACAAAGCCCTCTGAGTAGGGACAGCTTCATGTCCAGTCTGATCTATGAAGGTCTTGGTTCTGGTGTACGTCAGAGGTCTCATGCTCATATGACTTCATGGCAGTTCAGGTTTGAGATGTAGTCACTGACAAGTCAGACTTGTGAACTGCAGCTCTGTTCACACTGCAGCTGAAACGCTCCCACTGAGAAACATCAGATGTCAGTCATAGAGACGGGGAGACACAGGAGACCGATTCATCCAATCAGGTCCGGATGAATCAAACCGAACAGGTCGGAAACAGCCACTGTTTCAAACAGCATCTGATTGAATTTACTTAGTTATTTAATTAATTTAATTTATTTCAAGGACAATGCACATTAATCCACATCACTGTAAATCTGCCAGTGTGAGAGCCAAGAGGCTCATTTTCAACTGTTCTCCCTTGGCCAGATGTTAAATGAGCCATTAAAACAACAATAAAACACAAGTTATGACAAGAAAGAGCAAGTGACAATGAATCAGTTGAATAGAACATAAAACCTACATGCTAAATCAAACAGTGTGGAGTAAGAACCTAATCAGAGCAGACAGTTAACACAGTGCAGTGTTAAGTGCACAATCAGTGCACATAGTTACAACATGGTAACATCAGATCACATGACACAGACAGCCTGAGTGAAACCACACAGTCGACAGCCAGTTCGCATCATCATTTGTCTACCACTTAGGTTTTTTTTTTACATTTGTGAATTTTCACATCACAGTGTCCAAATGTTGACCCCATCGCCGACACAGCTCCTTGTGTGTTGTTTGGGTGCTTCATGAGTCCGAGTCTGGAGTCCGTCAGGGACAAGTTGTGTGTCAGGTTGGAAGTCGAGTTTTGTGGGTCTCGATTGAGAGTCTCCGCCTCTAAACCACAGATTTAGAGGGAACTGCATTAAACTATCAGATGAATGGAAACAGAAGTCACACGGTGCAGCAGTGGTGGTGTGTTACTGAGCTGCTCCAGCTGCAAACAGAAAAATACCTTTTACATGTTTGAATCACTTCTGTGTAAAGTTGTGTTCTCCAGCCTAAACTGCATCAGATGCTTTTATAGCAGAAGTTGGTCTGGTCTCAGGATAACAGGTTGCAGTCAAAAACTCCCAGTGGTCAGTGAACTAACTGTCTAGTCAGGAGCAAGATATGTTGCTTTAAAGCTTCATTTGTGTGTGTGCGCGTGTGTGTAGTGTATTCAACATGTTGTTTAGTTTATCCATCACAGACTCATCCTCATCCATGTTCATCTGTTTTTACCTCCAGAATCTGGCCAATCAGAAAGTCCCAACCAGGCCAGCGAATCAGATATCAAGGAGCAGCCAGAGAACGGTGAGCGCACACACACTCCTATAAATACTTAGTATATACACACACACACACACACACACAGACTGTAACCTGCTGTAATCTATAAACACATATATTTACTGTATAGACTCACACAGACACACACTCAGTCTGACCTGTGTTTGACCGTGGTGGTCAGACAGAGAGAGGCTGTGGTTTTTTTCTCACACACACACACACACACAGTACACTGACATTTATCAACACACACAGACAGTGTTCAGATAGACAACCTTTGTTGTGTAGTGTGCACGCCTGTGTTTGTGTTAGACCTTGACCCTGCACTCTAGCTACGTGCCTGCAGACACACACACAGACACAGATATACTCCAAGCTGGTACTTGATTGTACTTGTTGGGAACCAGAAGCTTCCACTTCTCCTCTGTTCTGTACTTTCTAACTGATACTGTTGCTAGTACTACTGCTGCTGCTATGGCTACTGGTACTACTAGGGTTACTACTGAAAGTACTACAGTGAATGCCACCACTACTACTATTTGTATTAGTGATTAGTATTGGTACTGATATTACCACCATTTCTACTGATACTACAGCAACTATTACCACTGATCCAACTACTGCCGCTGCTGGTGGAGCTACTACCACCACTGTTACTACTGTTTCTACTAATCCTGCTCCTAATACTGCAGGTGGGGGCTGTTCACATATCATATCTTTTTGTGTTCAGATTCATTATTTTAAATGGAGACATGCAACAAGTGAACTCACAACACAGAGCAGCACGCATGTGTTGCGATGCGCCCGTCTACTTTTCAGAATGCAGCTAGTGCACAGCAAGAATCGACCAATCAGCTTCACCCTTTCTGTAACCATCTGGTTTAAAGCTCAGCCAAGATGGAGGGCGGAGCTCCAGGATCAGCTGGTGAAATTCTCTGTGGTTTCTTTGTGCTTGAAGGACAGGATGGGCCGAGACACGGCACCTTTCCCCTCCTGTCCACATATAAATGTAGTAGCAGAGCTACTGCAAGCTGGAAGCTTGTTTATATCTTGCAACTTGCTCGTCGTCATGCAGCACGCAGCTCATGGTTGCTGAGCAACGGGTGACACTGCGGAAGCACAAGTTGCTGAGCGCTTTGGAAAGAAGGAGAAAACGGCGGCCAGCGTCTTCCACGCATTTTACACTCGATAAGTGAACGGCCTCTAACTGCTGCTACTCTGACAATTACTCAGCTCTGCATTAACACTACAATATAACCATTTAATCTGTAGTAATAACATGTAGTGGTGTGTAATAATGTGGTGACCTGCAGTAATGCCACCCCTGCTCTGTGTCTGCCACAGGTCACCTGGGTTTCCAGGACAGCTTCGTGACACCTGGAGTCTTCACAGTGGCCGAGCTGGTGCGAGTCTCCCAGAGTAAGTGCAGCTCTCTCCCTGCTCTTCCTCCTCTTCCTCCCTGTGATGGACCGAGGCAGATCTGTCATCGATAGCGGAGCTAATGTGATTCCTACAGACCAAAGCAGATGCTGCTCAGCCTGATGAACACACAGGGAAAGGCTTTAAAACATGTAAATGTAATGACTCCTGTAATCTGACCGGAGTCCTTCCACATACTGGTGCAACCTAATGCAGCCGGGTTTTTCTTAAATGTCTGCTCTAATAACAGTGCGCAGCTCTGTGCATATCAGTTGTGTTGTTTTCCAGCATGTTATGTGCAGCAGGAGAAGCTAGCGCAGTAGTGTAACCACAGCAGAGATCAGCTGTGGTCAGTTAGCTAGCGCAGTAGTGTAACCACAGCAGCCTGTGTCACTCTCTGGGTATTTGTTATTGTTTGCCATTTGTCTGCAGTATTTTTGTGTCTCTTTGTAGCAGTTCTGTCTTTTTCAAGTCATTTGATTTACATGATGTCACGTTACCATGTAACGCAGTGGACCGGGCTGCTGCGCTCACACACCAGGACGCCTTGTTGGGCGTTAACTGAAGCAGAGCTCTGTGGAATCGGCTCACTCACTTTTCCTTGAAAAAGTCTGGTGCATGTGAGTTTGGCATTAGTTCTGACATCCTGGTTGTTTACAGCATCGTCTGTCAGCTGTTGCCTCATCAGCTACAGCCAATCCGCAGCCCCCATCTCTCTCTGTCATTTAATAATAAGGAAATGTCAGCGATGGGGCGATCAAAAGGCTGCAAGATAGAAGGAAAGGATGAGATGAACGGCAACACATGGAAAGGACAGAATGAAAGAGAGATCGAGGGATGAACGTGACCTTTAAAAAGTGCCGACATGCAGGAGAGAGAGAGAGTGACAGGGAGCGCAGAGGGATCTATATGAGTCTGTCGATCGCCCACCGCTAACAATAGGCGATGTAAAGTGCCTGTCAGCACACACGGAGACCCCTGATCAAAGAGCCATCGATCTCACACACACACACACATTTATTCTTGCTGGATCAGATGCACGCCACAGCGCATGCAAACTCTATCTCACATCGCCACGTAATTACACATACTGCTTCCTGCCATAGGATGTGTGTGTGTGGTGAGGTGTCGAGGGCGCCAGGCGGACTGACACAGGGCACCAAGACCTCACACAGGAAGTGTCTGAACGATGCAAACTAACTGTAGGTCTCCACAGAAGTGAAGTTGTTTAACTCTGCCTCGCTCTGTACAGACTGATTTCACTCTGTCATTGCATTGTTTGTGTGACTCCCCACCAACACCGTCCAGAGACCAGCAGCACCAGTAGCAGCAGTGAGTGTGGCGTCCTCACCGTGATGTGTGTGAGTCCAGTTCCTGGTCCAGCTTATTGCTCCCCTGTTTTCCACCAGCTGTCAAAGAGCTGGGACGATGGAAAACAAAGAAATGAATGAGCTTTGAAACCGACCAGGGTGATGGCGCACGTCTTCCAGCTGTCAAAGCACTCAGCTCTTTCTCTGAAGTTTTTTTGTGGCGACATTCATTCATTCATTCATTCATTTTCTACCGCTTAATCCCTGAGCAGGGTCACGGGGGGGGCCGGAGCCAATCCCGGCCGGCAATCGGGCGAAGGCGGGGTACACCCTGGACAGGTCGCCAATCCATCGCAGGGCTAACACATAGACAAACAACCACACACACGCACGCACATGCACTCCTATGGGCAATTTTAGAGACACCAATCAACCTAAGCTGCATGTCTTTGGACTGTGGGAGGAAGCCGGAGTACCCGGAGAGAACCCACGCAAGCACGGGGAGAACATGCAAACTCCACACAGAAAGGTCCCAGGTGCGGCCCGAACCTGGAACCTTCGCGCTGTGAGGCAACGGCGCTAACCACTGTGCCACCGTGCTGCCCTTAATGTTAACATTTATGATAAAAACTTTATTTCCCGCCTTTATTTCCCATTTGCACACACGTGTCATCACCAGGAGCAACTAGGTATTCGGCGTCCGGCTCAAGGACACAGAAGAAGCCGGGAATCAAACCGCTGAACTTTCGATTAGGGAACGATCCACTCTACCTCCTGAGCCACAGCCACCCGTGTGACTAAGGCTCTTGTTATTATCTCACGGTTGGATTATTGCAATGCCTTGTATGTGGGAGTACCCCAGACTTTGCTTCAAAGAATACAATTGGTCCAAAATGCCGCAGCTCAGCTGCTGTCAAATGCTCCCAGGTTTGCCCATATCCTGGAGTTGTAGAGCGCTATAGAAATAAAGATTATTATTATTATTGTTATTATTGTCAGCTGGTCTTGACTCTACAGTAAACATGTCCCAGTAGCCACCGTACTGTACACTGGCAGCTTGTACTTTAATTCTGGCTGGTGCAGGTGCGATGAAGACCTGTGGAACAAGTATCGATACCACAGTAGAGTCACACCATGTACATATTTATTAACAGATTATATTTGGTCGTTCCCTATTTGAATGCACATCCCCGTTCATGTTGCCCTACAGAAGTGCAGTCACTGTTATGCGCACAGTACTTCTGATCGGTGTAATCTGTACAAAGTGTGAAAATGGCACATGGTCACTTACATGCGGATAAGCATCTTTATCAACTGTTGAACTTTCCATTTAAATGTTTGACGAAAACCAAAAGTGATGTGACAATGATGTGAGTCACAGCATCAGAGGCACTTTAACAAAGTTGTTGAATTGTACCAACACACGTTTACCTTTCTTTACTTTTTATAGGGCTTTGTATCCCCTGTAGTATCCACACTGAAGCATTACAGGTGTGCTCACATGCTGAGTCCTAATGTTTCTTTACTCCTGCAGTCCCCTTGCAGCCATGTTGTGATTGTCTGGTGTACAGACTACGCTGGTTAATTAATAGTTGTACACTTTGTCAGATTTTGGTTCCTTGAACCGTACCTCCTTTTCACACTGGCTTTGAAGCACCTGTTCTCAGTGCACATTTCAAGGTCCTGAGCAGAACTGCATTCAGCATTTAGGTTGTGCAAAGAACAGATCAGTGCCCAGCCATACAGGAGATGATAACAGCCACCAGCAGGTCAGACTGTGGTTGTACTGGGCAGCTTCCGGGTATGAGTGGGAAGGCTGCCTCTCAGTGAACCTAGCCTGAATAAATAAAGGTTAAAAAATGTGAGGAACACTACAGTATAGGTACAGTACAGTATATATTCACACAAACACACACCCAGAATAGAGAAAGGGTGTGTGCATCTGTGAATACATTTGTGTGTGTGTGTGTCTGTATGTATTGTGTTGGTCAGCAGATTTGCAGCGATGCGGCTCTGCAAGAAGAATCACTTATAGATTAGAATGCTCGAGAGTCCACTCTGTGAGTGTGTGTGTGTGTGTGTGTATGCGTGTGCTCCTCCAGGCTATAAGTTAAAAGCTAAAGTGCCTGAATTGTGTGTGTGTGTGTGTGTGTGTGTGTGTGTGTGTGTGTGTGTGTGTGCGTGTGTGTGTGTGTGTGTGGACATGTTTTTCCTGCTACGTGGGGACTTCTTCCTGATTCCATACCAACTCATGAGGACCCATTTCACGGTGGGGACCTAAATTGAGGTCCCCATGGGCAAGAAATTGACTTTTAGGGTGGCAACATGGTTTAGGGTTAGGATGAGGTTAGGGTTAGGTTAAGTTTAGGGTCAGGGTTAGGGTCACTCAAGTAGTGGTTCTGGTTAAGGTTAGGGTTAGTCTACAGGAAATGAATGTAAGTCAATGTAAAGTCCCCATGGACTACGAAACATAAACTGTGTGTGTGTGTGTGTGTGTGTGCGTGTGCGTGCGTGTGTGTGTGTGTGTGTGTGTGCGTGTGCGTGCGTGTGTGTGTGTGTGTGTGTGTGCATGTGATGTACAGGTTGTGCAGGAACACATGTAGGTAAAGCAGGTTTGCATCAAACAGGTGTAATCTTGATTGATTCATCATTTTGTCCATCAAATGTCAGAAGGTCGTGATAAGTACAGTTGGATTACTAAGCTTCTGTTCCTTTTTAGAATGTCCGTGAGCACAGTTGGTAAAACACTACTAATAGATGCAAAATGGCCACAGGCAGACTCAAAAATGGCCATAAAGACACAAAACGACTGCAAAGAGATGAAAATGGCATAAAAGGACTGAAACAACAGATGCACAACAAAGACAATGAGGCACCAAGCAACTAGAAACACAACAATACCACAAAGACACACAGAACAGCTGTAAATGTTGCACTGTGTTTGTCATTTTGTGCGTCTTTGAGTCTGGGGGCTCCTGGAATGGTGGGACCTTTCAGGGGGTTGTATATGTATAGTTTGTTTTATTCAACCAACAGTCGGAAGCCTGAAGATATTCAGTTTACTGCACCAAATGCAGACAATTCACATGTCTGAATCTGACTAAAACTATGAGTTGATTATCAAAATAATTAGTGATTAAGTTTCTATTTATTGATTAATCATGGCAGCACTAAAGAAAAGCAGCTGCACCATAAGCTAAGGACTTTCTTATGATGAGTGATAAGTGAAAACAATGTGGCCGAGACAAAGACACAACCTAGTCGCTTGGTGAAGCATCAACTTGCAGATGTAGTTACCAAGAATGTTAAGTCTCTGCTGCTTGCAATGTTAGCATTGTAGTTAAGGGGGTGCGGTACTGTACAGCGTCGCGGGCATTTGGGAGGGGTAATTGCCCACCCGACACGACAGCACAGACCCTTGTCTTCATGTGAGCACTGCAGCATGATACACTGGCTTTAAAAACCTGTACTTAAGTTTCTCATCCTGGTGTTTACAGTGGGTATGGAAAGTATTCAGACCCCCTTAAATTTTTCACTCTTTTATTATATTGCAGCCATATGCTAAAATCATTTAAGTTCATTTTTTTCCTCATTAATGTACACACAGCACCCCATATTGACAGAAAAACACAGAAT